AATGAATTTCTGATTAGTGGATGAGTGAATGAATGAATTTATCATGGCAAAAGAAGATCAAACTTTTAAGGTTAAAAACTATCCTTCCATAGAATTAAGTTGATTCATATATTAGCACTTTCCCACTTCAACTACCAGAGATCACTGATGTGTAAGCATCAGATAATGGACAAAGATCCCCTCAGCCTTGACTCAAGGAAAATTTGAGACAAGAATAACCCTACATGGGTTGATACCTTAATTTTTATTTTTAAAAAAAAACTACTAGGTATTTTTATACCTTGTTGGAATGTGGGAGTAGGGTGGGGAACTGGACACTGGAGGATGAATTATTCCCCGAACCAGTGCAATTGTACCAATAATCACACTATCCTCTGTGCTAGTCTCTCTGTTACATTGATGTTCACATTGTAGGCAGTGTTTGTCCAGTAAGGGATGACTCTTTACCCATACTGTGACCTCCTCTCACACATCTCTGCTGCCCAGACAATGGCTTCGTACCCCTTAGATTTTCTAGAAATAACTCCGCCACCAAGTGGTGGCTTCAAACAAGGGTGTTTGGCAAACAACAGATATTCAGTGTAACTGATTTTTTTTTTCCCTTCTAAGGACTGACAAGTTGTTTTTAGCATCATGAAAACAAAATAATAACCTGTGTGTACAAGATGCAAAAACAACCAGTTAATTCAGTCTTACAATACCAGAAATACAGTGAAAAAGTCAGCCAAACCAGGGATGATACTGAATGGAGTGCCCAGTGAATATCAGTAATGTTAATCCTGTGTGTGTGTGTATATATATATATATATATGTATGTATGTATTATGTATGTGTATATATGTATATGTGTATGTATATTTGTTAATCCTGTGTGTGTATATATGTATATATATGTATTATGTATGTGTATATATGTATATGTGTGTGTATATGTGTATATGTATATTTGTATATAGTCTGTTAATCTTGTATAGACCCAGTTATAGTTAGAAGAAAGCCCATTTGCTTCCTAACATTTATAAAACATAGAAGGGCAATATGATGGTGAAAAAAGGAGGTCCCATTTTGGGGGGTCCCATAGCTGATTTTTTAATAACTATGGCTCATATTATTATGGCTCATTAGGTCTCTGGTCCCTTCTACTTTTAAAATTCTCTGGCTGTGAAACAGAAAAGGCTTTAGCTCCTGCTATCATTCATTTGTTTGTTCATTCAGCAGATATTTATGCAAGGCAACAATGAGTCACTGGAGGCTAGTGATCTCAAACCTAAATTATCTTGCTTTTTAACACTTTGTTACTAGTCATGCGACTGACATATAATTTTTTTTCTTTTCTCAAAGACCTGAAAACAAAGACTGTCAGAATGAAAGGAACTTTAGCAGTTACCTGATCTAAATACTTGTGGGTTGATCTAGTCTAGGGGTTCTTAACGCATGTGTTTGATAGACCCTTCTGACATTCTCTTTTTTTTATTTTTAGGCAATTGGGGTTAAGTGACTTCCCCAGGGCCACACAGCTAGTAAGTGTCAAGTGTTTTGTCTGAGGCCGAATTTGAACTCAGGTCCTCCTGACTTCAGGGCCAGTGCTCTAGCTGCCCCTACCCCTTTCTAACATTCTGGTGAAGCCTATAGACTCCTTCTCAGAATCATATTTTTAAATGAATAAAATAAAATTCATAGTATTGCAAAGCATACCTATTATATTAAAGTAGAATTATCAAAATATTTTTAGTGAGTTCATTGGCTGCATGTTAAGAACACCTGATCTAGTCCAACTCTTTCATTGTATACATAAAGAAAATGAGGCTTTGAGAGATGAGCTCACCTGCCCAAGATCACTTGATTAGTAAGTGGAAGCTGGTTCTCCTGACTCCTCATCCAAAGTGTTTTTCATTCAACCACCTATCCTCCTTTGTTAACCCAATTACATATTTTTTCTGAATGAAGAGACAAGGGAGGGGACAAGTAACATAGTACAGTGGCAAGTGCATTGATTCTAAAGTCAAAGGACTTGGGCTGAAACCACACCCTACTATTTATGACTTATGTGACCCCGGTAAGTCACTTAATCTCTCTGGGCCTCAGTTTCCTGTCCTATAAAGGGGGAAGGGTGGATTAGATGGCCTCTAAGGTCCTTTTTAGATCTCTGGTCTAAGGAGATTCAATAAGCATTTATTAAGCATCCATTATGTATTAAGCATTGTGCTACATGCTGAAGATACAAAAGACAAAAATGAAACAACTCCTGCCCTCAATGAGTTTACATTCTAACGGTGGAGGGAGGAGATAACATGTACACATATAACTCTCTATAAGGTGATGGAGTGGGGGTGTCAATAGGAGCTTAAAAGGAATCAGAAAAGGTCTCCTATAGAAAGTAAGGCTCAAGCTAAGCCAAGATATCTTAATAATAGAGTTTATGAAGGGAAATAATATATGATGAGACTGGAAAAGTAGGTTGGAGTCAGTTTGTGAAGGACCTCAAATGCCAGAAGACTTTGCAGCTGATCCCAGAAGTAAGAGAGAGCCACTGGAGCTTATCAAACAGGAATGTGCAATGGTCAGACCTTTATTTTAAGGTTTGTTTGTAAGAAGAATTGGAGAAGAGAGAGATTTGAAGAAGGAGACCAACTGGGACATTGTTGACCTAGTCTAGGAAAGAGGTGATGAGAGGATGCATGTGGCATGGGTGGAGAGAAGGGGAATGGATTGAGATCTGTTGTGGGGGTAGAGTCCATGTGGTAAGGGAGGATAAGGAGCCCGGGAGGATGCTGAGTTTGCAAACCTAAGTTGCAAGGACAGTGGTCATCAGAAATTCAAAAGATGGATGGACTTGAAAGAAAAGATCATGAGTTCAGTTTTGGATGTGTTGAATTTGAATTGCCTCTGGGACATACATACATTTCAAAATGTCCAATTTTGACATTGGGAGCTCAGTGAAATAAACCCTATACCTACCCCACCCTTATTTATTCAAGGAATAGTAAAACACAATTCTAGCTCTCATCAAGTTTACATTCTTTTGGAGGGGAACAGTGCAGAAATATCCACATACATTATAACTATAATACAAAGTAAAATATGAAAGTGCAACGAGAGAAGTTCAGTGTGCTATGATGTGGAAATTTAAATAATGCATTTCTAAAACTCTCAAGTATTTTTTTCTGTGACTTCTCTGTTCTCTAGTTTGTGCTTTGCTAAAATCTGTAACATATGTTGTTATAACCCTCATATTAGAAAATAATTTTCATTTTTAATACTATTCCCAATTAATTAATTGGGATCAGCAGCTATTTTAGAATTATTTTTCTCAAGAACTTCTTAAATACTTTGCAAGTATTTAACTTATCAAGTGCCATCTTGGCCAATATGGATCAGTTTATAGAAATTTCCTGCAAATCCAACCCTACAAATATCATTTATTCTCTTTGCTATGCAGTAAGAAGAGTAAACTATGAAAATAACCATTTACACTCTTAATGTACTTTTTTTTTCCAAACTGAATCATTCATATATCCTCCCCAAACCATGCATGCAACAAGAATTCATTTGCAACTATGGTAACCAGGAGTTACTCTATTTGAATACTGAGCAGAACTAAGGAATTATTTAAATAATTGCTAAATAATTCTATATGACAGATGAATTCTTGTCACCATTACAGCCACAAAAGTTTCTAAATCTTTTTGAGAATATAAAAAAATTCTATATTGATTATCCAAAATATAGATGTCCAAGATATAAGTACTCATTTTCCTGCTTGAGTTACATTGTGTTAAAAGATGAAACATAATTTTGTCCATTCTGTTAAGTTACTAAGTTGCTCAGCCATCCCCATGGATGGTCAAATGGGTAGTACAGACCTTTGTCCCAGGCTGGGGTGTGGGAAGCAGAGGGTAGGAGAGGACAAGCATCGAAGATATCAAAATCAAGAAAAATCACTCTACTTTCATTAAGTTGTCATTCTATCTCCAAAAGAAAGAAACTTTCTGCTTCTTCAAAATAATCTGATTTACTCAAATAAATTATTACATCCCTCAGTTTAAGCTATAATCCCTTTAAAATCCTGTGATTTGGAATCACTTCATCAATTACAAACATTCATTGGAAAGAATAATAGAATTTAAACTGCACAGGTATTTACCTTCTTGTCTTCTGAGTTGAAGCTAACAGCTGGTCAGGTGAGTTTGAACCTGTGCTCGGGCACTCACTTATTAAATATATGAAGTCTTTGCCACTCCCACTTTGGACCAAAGCTAAAATTATCTTTGATTTACTCAAGAAGGGAAGTTTGCAAAGACAAAGCTATTTTTGAAATGATTTTCTCAAAGATGCTTGTCTCTTTCAAGATTTTCAAAAACATGATAAAACAGATAGGTTTGATAAACTAGTCCATTATGGTTGTAAGTTACAACTAAGAGTAATTGTTATGATTACAACTAAGTTAGATTTAAACTTCATTTTCCAACTATCAAATATGTTTAAACTTGAAATTCAGATGGGAAGTCCAATGGCTAGTTCATCGTTGACCACAACCTGTTTCCTTCCTTCTAAGTTAGATAGTCAAGGAATTGATGAGCATTTATCACATGCTGATTGTGGGGATTTCACTGTGATAGGTAACTTAGTATCTCAGTACTAAGTAATAAAAATAATAATACTTAGTAATAAAAAAAAACATAGATGAGACTTGCCCTTTTTACCTAAATAGGAGAAACACAACAAAAATGAAGGATGTTTTTAAATCACTTGTTAACAAATGCATATGAGAGTCACTGAATGTTAAGACTGAAGATCTTAAATACCCTCTGAGTCCTTTCATTTTATGGGTGAGAAGCCTGAAGTCTCCTTCCTAATATTATATGTCTGACACACCAAGCTGCTCCCCCCATACTAGTGTAAGACAATCAGATTGAGCACTTGGGTGCTGAGCAAATGTGGAAAACAAGTAAGGTGTTACTGTGGAAAACAACTAGAGAAACTGACAAACAGCTACTTACCTTATACCTCACCATTATTTGAAACCAAGTTTTCTCTCGAATCTTCTCATAACCAGATTCTGGCATCATTTTTATGACGACTAAAGATTACCTGTGATGTGTAAAATAATTCTACCTATCCATGCTTTGTGCCAGTCTGTTCCGGTGACACAGCCATGGGATAGCTGTCGAAACATGGTTGCTGCTGAATTGAGCTGTTATTCCATGGTGAAAACTATGGTTTTGTGGTTGACATTACTATGGTTGGCTGTCAAAACATGATTCTTGCTCAGCCTCTAGGTGCAGGTGGTAATTCACAGTAATATTTGCATATCTACAATCTGGGCTTGTGTTTGTTTATTCTTCTAAATAAGCTGGCTCAGATTTGACAATGCAGGTAAAGGTGCCAAGTCTCAGAACATGGTATGCTGTTTATTAAGTCAATTCTGAAGGAGTTGTTTATGAGTTAAAAAAATTCATTCTATCCTGAGGTCCTGAGATGTAGCTTGATGTGCAAGGAGCTGGGTAAGGGACTAAAGAAAGAATGTCCCTTATCTGCCAAGGACTTGAAGAGAGCTAGCCATGTGCTATGCACAACACACACACACACACACACACACACACACACACACACACACACACACACACACCCAGTGCTTTGCAACAACAAACTTTAAGATACTATACAAAGTGAGTCATAAGAATAACATCTATTCATATGGCAGCTAGGTGACAGAGTAGATTGAATTATGGATTTAGAGTCAGAAAGACCTGAGTTCAAATCCTGTCTCAGACACCTCCTGGCTGTGTGACTTTGGTAAGTCACTAAACCTCTCTCAGTCTTAGTTTCCTCATCTATAAAATGGGGATAATAATAGTATCTATCTTACAAGGTTGTTGTGAGGATCAAAGGAGATTATATTATAAGCAGCTAGGTGGTACAGCAGCCAGAGGAGTAGACTTGGAATCAGGAAGACCTGAGTTCAATCCTGTCTCAGACACTTATTAGCTGTGTGATCTAAGTAACTGAATCTTTTTCTCTCACTGCCTCAATTTACTTATCTATGAAATAGGTATAAAAATAGCACCTACCTTATATGGGTGTTGTAAGGATCAAATGAGTAGCATATGTAAAGTGTTTTGTAAACCTTAAAGCACTATAAAAATGTTAGCTTTCATATAAAGAACATCATATCATATAAATCATATAAATCTATTATTGTTACGGGATTGTTGCAATGATCAAACAAGATAATGTATTTACAGTATTTTACAAATCTTTAAGTCATGTATAAAGATAAACGATTCCTATGAATCATTTTGTACAGTATCATAAAATTTGCTTTTGCAAAGCACTTTCTTCAAAATCATGTGAGGCAGATCATACTGGTATTATTAAACTCATTTATCAAATAAGGAAACTGAGGCCCAAGTCACACAGCTAGTAAGTATCTGAAGAAAGACTGAAACCCAACTCTCCTGACTACAAGTCCAGAATTCTATACATGTAAACACTGCTCCCTTACATTGCCTTTTGCTGGTATGTTGGCTTTCAGAATGAGCTTGATTGAACTCAGGTTTTAAAATTTAAAATTTAAATAAGTTTTAAAAGTAAAATGTATATTAAACACATTTATAAATTTTCTCTTACCTATAATAATATAATGTTCACAATTTTATAGTACACATAGCAAAACTTGTGGCACACCCCTGGAGAACCACTGAGTTAGCCTAAGGCCCTTCAATTAGGATAAAGAAAATGAGGCCACGGGAAGTGACTTGTCCAACCTCACACAGATAATAAATTCAATCCTCATTCAGATGCAGGGCTGTTTTCAACTGCACCACACTGCCTCTCTGAAGGGCGTAAGCAGTTCCAGGAAAAGTGAGCTCTCTGTTAACTAAAAGAAATAACAGTCAATGACCGGCCATCAGTTCACACAGTTGCAGTGAAGGAATCTTAGCCATTGCAGCCAGGACTGGTATCTCAGAGCTTTGCAGGGCCAGTCAGCTTGTCTTACCTGGGACACAGGTCCTGGGACCAGAGCACTTATGGACAGATGTAGCAGTGAGAATCACACCACTTGATGCCATGGATATATATGTATGATCAGATTTGTTCAGCAAGATTATTTCTAAAAAAAAATTTCTTTGTTTAGCATTCCACAAATCTTGTTTAACTTGCAAAGGTTACAAGCCAAGACAAAAGTAGGAGAGTTGTTATGTGATTTTTGTTTTGTTCACAGATGATTGTGCACTGAATACAGCCTCTTAGGCTGAGATGCAACAAGCAAAGATTCTCTACTGCTTGTGCTAACTTTGACTTGATGATTAACACCAAAAAAACCAGGTTCTTCACCAGCCAGCACCACACCATCCATCTGTAACACCATCCATTACAGCAAATAGAGAAATGTTGAATGTTATGGATAAGTTCTCTTACTTTGTCAGTATAATTTCCAGAAATGTACACGTAGATGATAAGGTTGATGCATGTATTGCCAAAGCTAGCTCAGTGTTTGGGAGGCTCCAAAGGAAAGTGGGAGAGAAGAGATATCAGACTGACTACCAGACTGAAGATCTACAGAGCTGTTGTGCCGACCTCATTGTTGTGTGCCAGTGAGACCTGGACAGTACACCAGTACCACCCAGAAACTGAATTGCTTCCATTTGAATTGTCCTAGGAAGGTGCTGAAGATCATCTGGCAAGATGGGTACCAGACACTAAGGTTCTTTCTCAAGCTACACTGGCAAGCGTTCAAACTCTACTGTAGTGAGTGCAATTCTGATGGATTGGCCACATTGTTCAAGTGCCAAATGTATATTTGCCTAAAAGACTATTTTACTCACACAAGTACTCACACAAGGCAAGCGCTCACATAGAGTTCAGAAGTGATACAAAGACACTTTCACGGTGTCTCTGAAACTCTTTGGAATCAACTGAATGACATGGGAGACACTGTCAAAGGACCACTCAAAGAAGGTGCTGTGCTTCGTAAGCAAAGCAGAATTGTAGCAGCTCAAAAGAAACATGAGATGCGTAAATTTAGAGATATCTCCACTCCAAATGTTCATGTGAACTATTTGTGCATGACCTGGGGTACAGCCTTCCAAACTCATAGTGGTCTGATCAGCCGCAGTCAGACACACTGGACCCTGGCCCTAACATAGTGATGTCATTTTGGTGCTCTTCAAGAATGAAGGGGGGCAGCTAGGTGGCGCGGTGGATAGAGCAGCAGCTCTGAAGTCAGGAGGACCTGAGTTTAAATCCGGCCTCAGATCAAACATTTGACACTTACTAGCTGTGTGACCCTGGGCAAGTCACTTAACCCCAATTGCCTTTTAAAAAAAAATGCTCTCTCCTGAAAGAATTGGTGGAGCCTGAATGCAGATCGAGATACTTTTTCTTTACTTTATCTTGTTTTTATTTTTGTCTGTGTTTTCTTGCACAGCATGACTTACATGGAAATATGTTTTGCATGACTACACATATATAACCGATGTCAAATTGCTTGTCTCCTCAACAAGGAGGGAAAAAGGAAGGAGGAAGGGAATTTAGAACTCAAAATTTGAACAAAGAATGTTGAAATTGTTTTTACATGTAATTAGGAAAAAACAAAATATTAAGTTAAAAAAAATTTAAATGCTTCTCTTCTATGGTTGCAAGTCTTTGATTATAGATAGGACTGTTGTACATATTTTGGTTGATGAAGCCACAGGAGCAATCAATCAACAAGCATTCCTTAATACTCTCCTCTGGGCCTTACATTATTTATAAAAGCTTGTGAGCTCTTTGTACCCTCAATAATGATATAGCAAAGTTCTTTCTATAAAAGATAGATCTAACACTGTAGATGATGATAATAGCAACAACTCACATTGCTACTGGATTTTAGGGTTTCTGAAGTGCTGTCCCAGAACAGCCTTATGAGGTAGATCATGAAAGTTCTCTGATGCTATTTCCGATGTTGTGCTCAGAAAATCAGTTATTCAGTCAATGAGCATTTATTAGGAGCTTGCTATATGCCAAGCAGGGCAGCTAGGTGGTGCAGTGCCAGGCCTAGAGTCAGGAAGACTAATCTTCCTGAATTCAAAGCTAGCCTCCGACACTTACTAGCTGTGTGACCCTAGGCAAGTCACTTAACTCTGTTTGCCTCAGTTTCTTCATCTGTAAAATGAGCTAGAAAAAAATAAAATAAAATAAAATGAATCAGAGAAGGAAATGGCAAACCACTCCAGCATCTTCGCCAAGAAAACCCGGTAAGGGATCACAAAGAGTTGCAGACACTACTGAAAAACCAAACATTGTGCTAAGTGCTGGGGTTACAGAGAAAGGATAAAACAGTCTTTGTCTTCACAGAACTGACATTCTGATGAAGAGATGGACAACATATAAATATCTAAAAGATACATACAAAGTATATGAAGGGAAAGGAGAAGGTATTAGCAGCTGAGGGGAGTAGGGAAAGCCTCCTGCAGAAGACTGGGTTTGAGATGAGTCTTAACAGAATCCAGGAAAACTAAGGGAGTCAGGTTGACTCACCCAGACACAATGCATTCTCAAATTAGGCCTATGGATGGGCCAAGTTAAAGGCATAGGCTTTTTAGCGGATGACACCTTCCCTAATTTGTGCAGTTGTGAAGGAAAGCAGCACTAAGCCATTTGCTTCCCTCCATCCCACACATATTAAGGACTTTTAACAGGAGCATTTCAGCAATCCTCAATTGCTATGTCAGAACTTAGGTATGAAGAAGGAACCCACCATTATTAGAAATCAAGTGAACTTGGCAGTGTGCTCCCACCTCATCTCTAGTTGGGGAAACCCTTCTTATCCTTCAAGGCCTTCTTTAGGTGCCACCTTCTCCATGAAATCTTCTTAGATGACAGTGTTTGTTTCTTCCTCAGATTTTCCTAAAATTCTTTGTCTGAATCTCTCCTTTGACCCTATTTATTACCTTCTACCTTAAAAGGTATATGTCTGTGTGTGTATATATATATATATATATATATCTTCTCCCCAAAAAGATTGCACACTCCTTAAAGACAAATATCTTTGTATCACTAACTTCTAGTATTGTACCTTGCATATAGTAGGTGCTTAATGTTTAATTAAATTGAATTCAAAATTATAAATTCTTTACATGAAAGGAATTGACTAGTGAATAGAGCACTGCCCCTGGATTCAGGAGGACCTGAGTTCAAA